TACATAACAATTTATAATTAATCAAATTCAATGATGAAAAAGTTGTGAAATAGAATTTTAACGATTTTTAAATATCAAATAATATATAAAGTTTTTTATCAAGACTGCGGCAACGTTGCAAATTTAATTTGCATATTACTTAGGTAATTAATATTAATTAAAACAAACTAAACTAGTTTAAATTATTGTAGGTTACATTGAACGGTTGTAAAGTTGAGTCAATTAAGTTGTCAAAATTCGTAGTTAATAATGCAATTAATTTGGCTTTGGTGGTGCGTAGATGAGTAAAATCATAAAAACGTAGTTAAATATAGGTGACTACAGCCCAGAAGCGACAAAGTATTAATACTACTTAGGACTTCCTAGCGGATAATAATCTCCGCTTTGAAAAGAATGTAGGGACATTCTTATATACTTAAAATAAATTAAAATTTTATGTGAACACACGTGAATGGGTATTTTGTTAAAGCCACTGGAGGTTAATACTTGTAGTGGCTTAATAATAATTATAATGTATATATATAATATATTATATTGTCCAGGACTATTAATGATCAGTAACTTGCAAATTGAAAAAAGAAAAAGTTTCGTGTTCATTGCTTATCTTTTTTAAACCAAACGGATGCTATTTTCAAAGACGGGAAAATTACCTAACTACTAGATTTTTCACAAAAAGGCTGAACCCAAAACCAATTTTTTTTCATTTTCCTATTTTTTTAAATTTCAAAAATATTTAATCTGCTTAGCTGAAAATATATATTATAATGTGTGATTTAATCGGTGATTTAATGGTGATTTAATGTGATTTAATCGTTGATTTAATGTGTGATTTAATCGGATTTAATATTTGTAAAACCAAAAACGTTACTTTTTTACTTCAAAAATGTTCATAATGCAATGTACTTTTTCTGCCATTGCGGCATTTGGCATAACTCGGCATAACTTCATCGAAATGAAGTTTTGCCATTAATAGCCGACGGTGCACTAGTGGTTAGTGCTGCTGACTACAAGCCGAGAGGTCGTTTATTTGTTTGTCCTATTGTATTGGTCCTTCGGAGGGGCCTTTAAGCCCGCGGTCTGTTCCTACCCCTAACCCGCTGAAGCCATTCAGTTGGCTTCTGGGACTTTTTTATACAGTGCTTGCAAATCCGAGTCCGAAGGAAGGATAGAATGCCAAACAGAATTTGATTGGTCAGAGCGTCACGCGCCTTCTGTTTGGCGTTCTATCCTTGTTATTTTCACGCGTCCTTCTCAAACCGGTCGGACTTGGATTTGCAAGCACTGTATAAACTTTTGTATATAAACTTTAGAATCTGATATAATTTTTGGCATAGTTATCTTTTTATATCAATATTATCAAGGATATTATATAATAATTAACAAGTTAATTATCAATAATAAATATTACTGTCAATTTGACATTCAGAGTATTTAATTAAGGTCTTTAGCAGAAGTACCATTTTTTAAATACTAAAAATACTAGGTAATTCAAACTGGCATAGATGAACTGTTGGTACAATATTTATTATATATGTAGGTACTATATATATATTATATAGATACAATATTTAAAATATATAAGTATATATTATATATATTTTATATATTATACTGGGTGTCGCAGAACTCGCACCACAAACTAAGAGGGGGCGTGTGGATAGCAATGAAAAAATTTATACGTAAAAGTATAATCAAATGAGAGCAAAAAAGCAGCAGCCAATACCGAGAACTCTCGCCTAGGTTAAACGTTGGAGCTTTAAAATTGCTAGGAGACGATAGAACGTTGTTGTCTTAAGACTTGACGTCCGTCATAACCCGCTGAACTGTGAACGGGCAATTCGCGTGCAACTTCCCTTATGCTTTTTCTACTATTTGCATCAAAGGCATTGAAAATAGATTCTTTATTTTCCGCTGTTAGAATACGTTAAGGAGCACCTTCAATTTCGTTACAACGCAGAACAACTTTACAGTCCAGGGGACGATAGGGAAAGCGCTTGGAAAAAACTCGTGCTGTCTCCCTAACATTGCGCCCATACTCCCCATAAATAATCATCATTTCGGCATAATCGAAGATAAGAATAACTTAAAATTATAAATAGAGATGTAAAAAAACGGTTTTTTTTCAGATGTGAAAAAAAACATGAAAAAAAACCTAGAAAAAAAACGGTTTTTTTGTTTTTTTTTCAAAATGAAATTTTAAGTAAAATGTATATTAATAATAAAGTGAAATGTAGAATATATTACATTTTTCATTATTGAAAATTTTGACCGAGACTAAAAAATCTGATTTCTTATTATTTGGTAGTTTCCACATAAGAAACCAATAGCAATGTAACACTTCTATACTAATACAAAAAATTAAAGGATAAAAAAATGTTTTGCGATTCTTGAGATCTTTGTTAAAATGGTCGTAAAAAAAGCAATATGAAGCTTGAATTTTCTAGTTTTGAGATTTTTAGATGAAAAACGTGCAACGCTCAATCCTAACGAATACCGTAATAAAAAAATCGAATTTTTTTTTGGCTTTCTGGTCCACGGAATGTTCTGACTTAACCACCAATGAATACAATGTCATGTTCTACAAGAATTTGCTATTGTTTAAAAAAAAATCCATACTCTACATGAATTTGGAAAATCATGAAAAAAGTGCTTTTGGTAGCTTTTTGAAAAATCAAGTCCGGCCCTTATTGGTCAATTCAGTGGTGGTGGCGCGTGCATAGCGCGAGACTGTATTTACATTTACTAATTGTCATTTAGTGACTAATTTTAGTCCATGAACTGGACTGGAAACAAAAAATTAGGCAAATGGGACTAATATTGAAAAAAAACCTAAAATGTGAAAAAAAACCATTTGAAAAAAAACAATGAAAAAAAACCTGAAAAAAAAACAAAAAAAACGGACCGTTTTTTTTCAAGTCGCATCTCTAATTATAAATAATGAGCCCTGAACAAAAATTGACAGCAGTGTCAAAGGAGAAAACCAGATATTTGGACCAAATGCACAAAAATATTACTTATTTGGCACCATACACTTAAATGCAGTATTTAAATATAATTATATTCTTAAATTCTTAAACCATCCATTGTTATTGTAATTTTATAAAGATTTATACATTTTTAACGCCTAAACATAATATTATTTCTTTCGTTGACTATACTTTGACAGATACATAACCTGAAAAGCCTTAAATGCCAAATTTTCAAAAGACTGCGTTCCGTACGTGGTCACGTGGTGGGACTTTCAGGTGTGGAGGTTTTTTATTCTTATTTCGCTTATCCTTTGCGTTAGATAATATTAATGTAGTATGTAGGTACTTCGCATAACTTTCGAAATGTTCCGTTTTTCTCTGTGGCGCGAGTTCTAGCCCAGAACTTCTGGGACACCTGCAGTAGGTATATTATCACACATTATAATTTATAAATCCTTATTTATACTCTGATATTAGGTAAATTATATAAATAACAGTTTAAATAACTTTTGACCTAGAATGTCATGCCTAAGATTACTTAAATATGTTACATAAACATACAATGATGCATTAAAATTAAGTTAGGTTAACTAATTTCAAGATCCTATTTTTCTGTTGAAAAAAATTGAGGCGCTTCTAACAAAAACAGCCATAGTTCAAAAATGTCTTGTTAATTATTTTTAATTTAAAACAATCATCTTAAAAACTCATAATAGCTATTGAAAATGCCATATAGAACCCATATTGAATCCGATAAGGAAACGTATCTGGTTCTATATGGTTTTATAGGTCCTATATGGAAAGTCCTGGTTTACATTAAACGGATTCTATATGGTTGAATATGGATTTCCATTTTAAAAATTTTATAAAGACATGTATATGGATGTATATGGATTTATCTGGTTTCTGTTCTATATGTATTTCCAGATAGGTTTCCCTATCTGGTTCTATAGTGTTTTAGAGTGTTTTTATCTGGTTCTATAATGTAATCTTCTATCTGGTTCTATAGTGAAATGCCTGTTTCAAATACCTATATTGAACCAGATAGAAACCATATAGAATCCAGATACGTGTTTTTTATATGGTTCTATATGGCATTTTCAATAGGGAGACTTGTGTTTAAACCTAATGATTTGTCATAATCTATATGACATTAAAAATAGATAGGTATTCTCGCAAAATTAACGCTGCCTTCGGTCATCTATGCTCAAAATATTAATTTAAATTATACGTACCTATAAGTGTACGTAGGTAGGTATGTTAATACTAATTTGGACTATGTCTGTTTTTGTAAGAAGCGCCTTAATTGTGTAATGTTCTTTTGTTTGATTCATACAAATTGCAGTTTGAATGCACCTTGCAATGCAAAATTGCGCTTGGTGAAAGCAGACTAAATTATATTTAAAACCAGATAGGCAATATTACAGTTAAATTAGGTTAAATCATGGGACCTATTAGATATTTGCTTGCTAAATTTTCACCTAAAAAAACTTTAGAATATTAAGAATGCCTTAAAGAATACCTTTTAGTTTCAAAATGCCTATGTTTAAAAAAACTTTTTAAAACAAAGATTTGTTTAATTACAAAAAAAGGATTTTTAATTATAAGGATTTAAATTTTGTTATAAAGACCAAGCTCGATACCAAGTATAAGTATATTTATAAAAAGCGTAAAAAAAGAATAGTAAAATTTTCTAATAACGATTTAAATTAAATTAAATAAAATAATAAATTTTACATTTTGTAAAGTATATGACTTTTTGACACACATTATCAAAAAATAGAGAAATCAAAAACTACATCTATGAACCATGTCAACCTTTATTGCCTTATTTAAATTGTTTCTATAAGAAGTTTTTTACTTAATAAATTTACAGCTACCTTTAATTCTTTTTTTTATAATTCCCCTAACGACATATATGTCGTATATATAGCGTTGGCGTGCCATTTTGAGACACCCTATATAGTTTTACTTCATTTAAACATAAAATCATTAACTTAATTTTGCACAAAACATGAAAAATATACTTACAAAAGATAAAATTTTGACAACTGGAGTGTAAATATCCACATTTGGAACAGGTTCTTCCGAATTCGAGAATTTTTTGTAAGTTGTCACTAAATCGGTTAAAGTTAAAACACACAGAGCAGCTGTAACCACTAATTTAGACACATTTAAAAAATTCCACGGTATATTTCGTTTTTTGCTGTTTGTTATGTAATACACTTCTAACAATGCAAATGTCCACAAAAAAACACACGGTATCCATATTAGCACTGTCCTTTCAAAACACTTTGTAAACTCGGGATTATCCGTGTACCATGTTAATGAGTTGTTCTAAAAAAAAAACATGGATTAGTTATAATAATTATAAAACAAGAATTTCTTATTAAGAAAGTGTCCACTGAACCGCCAGCGGTATAAATTGCTATTGAACCGCCGCGGCAAAATTCCGTGAGCGCGGAATTGTGCTCAAGCACTAACCGCACTAATTTGGTTCCCAGATTGTTTGTTCATACTCTTCAACAGGCAGCATCGCTCACATGGTTTTTTTAAATTATGTTTCCTTTATATAATTGTATTATAATTAATTAAACCTAATTACAATAATACCTACTACACCCAATTAATTTAAAAAATTCAGTTTAGGTCATTTAACAAAATTTGTAATCTCAAATAATAATCATAATAATTTTGGCTTTGGATCACTTAGCATGCGAGAGGTACCGAGTTTGATAATTGTTAACTAATTTACATTTTAAAATAATACAATGTGTTACATAATTTTGTTTTCTATTATAAACATTACTTATTTTGTTTTTGTTACGTAAATGTAACATTATTCCCGCGGCGGTTCAATAGCATAGCATTTTTTTAAAAACACCGCCGGCGGTTCGGTAGATTCTTCCATAAAAAGAAATTACTTGGCCATTCCACGTTAAACGGCAATTTTTGTAGCGTCCGTAATAAATAAAAATTGTTAGTAAAAACTACTGTAACTATTGTGCTTTTAAGCTTAAGCTTAATTATTACAAGCATAATAAAGAATAGTAAATATTGAAATAGTATTTAATTTAATAACGGTAGCTTATATTCACAATTTTTTATTATTACACTACGAAAATTGAGTAGCGAGAAATGGCTTTTATTAGGTACATCCGATTCTGTCACTATGACAGGGTTGGAAAGGTGCTAAAATATACATTTACTGTCCAATTTACTACAGTAGTAAATGTACATTGACAATTTTTTTAATTTTTTCATTTAATTAATTAATTTCAATTATTTTTTTCTTGTTAATTATTTTATATATTTTCAATGCAAACTAGGTACTTGTTTGCTTGGTATAATAATTTGATTATTATAAAAATCAACAACTTCAGGAAATTGTTAAGTTACAAGAGCCCTCAGCTTCACTGTGATTTCTGAGTTTGACACGTCAAACTAAAGTCACAAAATAACACAAACTTAAGATTTTTGTAAAAGTTGTACTATATAGTATTTTTTAAATACTATTTTGTTTGTCAACTGAAACATGATACACACGTTTGTGTATCGTGATCCGACATTCTCATTTACAGCCTGTAAACAACCAAAAGACCAACAAGTAATTTGCTAAATTTACTACATACTATTATATGTGTATACATTTAGTAGTGAGTCAAACCACGTCAAGTGGGACCAGAAAATTTCACGAAATCACCGATTTTGAAAATAATCACATTATTGTGTAGTAGGCATGACTCATATGTCACAGTAAAAAAATTGTTTTAAAATTCGTTTTTTTGGTAATGTTATTAAGGTTGACAATTTTGTCAAACTTTAGAGCACGGTAAAATTGAAAAAATAGAATCTCTGGAACCACTATGTATAATTAAATTAAATTTTACACACTATTGTAGAAATGTTTAGACTATATAATGATCATTTAATTAAGGTTTATTTGTTTAAATAAAATAATTTTGCATACATTTATTATAAACAATTGAAATTTTGTATGTGTTCTTCACGCTGAAAAAAATTAATCTTGTGTCATAATATGCGGCAAACGTTTCCGTTTAATAAGATGTACTCAAAAATTTGTCTTTCCTATGTCATTCCGGAGATATTAATTTTTTTGTCCCGCTGTGCGCTTGATCAGTACGCGGCGCGCTTCGTTTCTAGCTCGTCCGTTCTAACGTTTTAACGGTGTGCCTGAACGAAGTTTAAGTCACATAAAAATGCCGCCAAAAACTGATTGTAGTTTCTTGTTCGGGCCCCTTGGGTGACTTAAAAATGATATTTACCAAAGTTCTAGCTGCTACTCTTTTCAAAATTGTTCGAAAATTCATGATTTTTTTTTAAATTTTTGTTTATCTCTTTGACAGAGTACACATTTGCACACCGATTTTTATAAAATTAGAGTAAATTATTTAGGAGACTTAGAGAATACTTTTTAATATTGTTCACATCATTTGATATATACAGGGTTAGCCAAAAATCACTTATTTTTAATAATGCAAGTGTAAATTTATGATTACTTATAGCATAACACGCGAAAAATATTTATCCCCAATTTTTTTTTTAGATATTTCTACGTCTATCAGGTTACAAAATTGCATTTTTATTAACATTTTACAAGAAAAATAGATTTGTAATAAAATTAAATAAAATAACGCTTAGAGAGTATTTAAAATGTTGTTTAATTTAGGCTTTTTAGTAGTTTTCAATTTTGAACGAAAAATTGGTTGAAGTTTTTTGATCGGCACTCTTTGGTGATTTAAAAAAGATATTTACCAAAATTCTAACTGTTTTTTGTTTAAATTTGTAAAAAATTCATTTTATCGCAAAGTCTACCTTTGCCAGAGTACACATTTGTACACCGATTTTTATTGATTGCAGTTTTTTGTTTGGGACCCTTTGGTAACTTTAAAATGATATTTACCAAAATCCTAGCTGCTCCTATTTTCAAAATTTTTTGAAAAATCTTTTTTTTTATTTTTTTTTTTGTTTATCTTACCTTTGACAGAGTACACATTTGTACACCGATTTTTATAATATTGGAGTATATTGTTAACGAGACTTGGAGAATACTGTGAGCACATCATTAGATTTATACAGGGTTAGACAAAAATCACTTTTTTATATAGTAAAACGCATAATGCATAAAAAAGATTTTTCAAAATGTTTCGAAAAGGGGAGCAGCTAGGATTTTGGTAAATATTATTTTTAAGTCACCAAAGAGTCCCGAACAAGAAACTGCGGAATTTTTATGCGACTTAAACTTCGTTCAGGCACACCGTGTCCTGACGAGCTAGCAGCGAAGCGCGCCGCGTACTGATCAAGCGCACAGCGGGACAAAAAATTTAATATCTCCGGAATGACATATGAAGGACAAATTTTTGTGTACATTTTATTAAACGGGAACGTTTGCCGCATATTATGACACAAGATTAATTTTTTTTCAGCGTGAAGAACACATACAAAATTTCAATTGTTTATAATAAATGTATGCAAAATTCTTTTATTTCAACAAATTAACCTTAATTAAATGATCATTATATAGTATAAACATTTCTACAATAGTGTGTAAAATTTAATTCAATTATACGGAGTGGTTCCAGAGATTCTATTTTTTCAATTTTACCGTGCTCTAAAGTTTGACAAAATTGTCAACCTTAATAACATTACCAAAAAAACGAATTTTAAAACAATTTTTTTACTGTGACATATGAGTCATGCATACTACACAATAATATGATTATTTTCAAAATCAGTGATTTCGTGAAATTTTCTGGTCTCACTTGACGTGGTTTGACTCTAGTAAAAGTAGAAAATGTAGTATAAAACCATTTTGCGTCACTTTCCCATACCTGCCCTTTGACAATAAAGTTAGGTTATCTAAAGGTGTATTTAGCCAGCATTTAATCTTATGTAACCTAACGTAATTGAATGTAATTTAACAAAAATTGTGCTATTTATACATTTAGTATACCTATGTTTGTATTGAACTACTCGCATGTTTAAAAATTAAGAACTATTAAACCTAATTTATAGATTCCTTCCTTTCTCCCGTAAAAGATGAACAATACGAAAATAATAGTGCCATTTATAGATCCGCGTACGGAAATCTGTAAATGACACTACGATATTCGTATTGTTCATCTTTTACGGGAGGAAGGAAGGCAAACTATAAATCAGGCTTTACATAAACATCCTACATTTTTACATCGTAACGACGGTTTAAGCCCGCTGCACAACAGCCCGGTAACGAGAACGGGAACCTAAACGGTAAAGGTGGGAGTGACTTAGCAAACTATCAATCAACACTGGTTTCTTAGTCTCTCCCACCTTTACTGTTCAGATTCCGTTTCCGTTACCGGGCTATGGTGCAGCGGACTTTATAAATAAATACATTAATGTGTTTAATGTACTAAAATTTTGCGCGATTTTAACATTACTTTTATTTTAACATTTTAACATTACTTTTATATCATTTTGTTAACAAATTGCTAAGAAGTTTAAACCACTAGTTTATTAAATAAACTTTATTTTACCGGGTAGGTAAGTAGTTGTTCAGAAAAACACGCTCACCTGTCTTGCTAATTTCAATTTACAGAGTAAGTAAGAATAAGGCTTTCGGCCACCAAAAAAGAATTTACAAATTTTGTACACTGATTTATATAAAAAAATGTATATTAAAAATCAGTGTTTTTTTTCGGTTATTATGTTCTATGTAGGTAAGAGATTATCGAAATTTTTGTCACCACTAATAAAAGTTTGTCAACTTTCGATTAGGTACATTACATGCATACACCTATAAGGTTATGAATTAAATTACATTACGTTACATAACATAAATGCTGGCCAAATCCACCTTAAGTACCTACCAAACTCGAAAAAGTTTAGTAATCAAACATTTAAATTAAAACAAATTAAAAAACATGTATAAATGAAATTAACTTTCTTTACAAAAAACATCAATAATAATCCCATTAAATAACATGCAAAATATAACTTTAATTTCTTTAATAATAGCTTCAGATTCGTCCCCGGTGAGCCACCCTGTATATACTGCAAATATAAATTGAATGTTCGAAATTATTACGCAAAATTAACGAAAGTACTCTAACCATTAAATTCTCTTTTTACAAAATAAAATTACTGTTTATTTCACTAAAAACTCACCCAAAATTCAGAGCCACAAAACAGGTCCAACGTTCCGTTCGCCATTTTAACAACCAACAACGTTTATGATCTGTGTTAACAACTGGTTCTGCGCACACTCCACAAGCTAAAATAGCAATGATTTATAATTAAACAATACCCCACCAAATACCACAACAACTTTTGCCTAAGCCAAATTTTATCTTAATACTTAATAAACAATTATGTATAAAGAAGACGAATATGCCAAGGTTTCAAGCTAAAAGAGTAAGCGTGAAAATTATGAAGCAGCCTGCATTATTGGAAATTTTGAATATGGCGCCTACAATGTGACGTTTTCTGCTATGTTGCCAGATGTTCTGTTTATCTTACGAAATATTTATTTTAATTTTTACTGAGAAAAAAACGGAAATTATATAAAAAATGTTATTTGGATTTCTTAAATTATTTTGCATAAATAGCATATTTCCATAGATATAATAAAAAGTAGGCTTTTAAATAAGGTTTTCTTTGCATTTAAAAACAATTTGGCAACAGAAACGTCAAAAATATGTGAGGTTACCGTTACTGTGACAACAAATTTCTGTTTAAAAAGTTACTTTAATTTACTTAAAATGAGTGCAAAATCCAAACCAGTGTTTTTGGATATTGATTCCAGCATTGTGGAAAATAATTTACGTTTTGCGGTATGTTATTTTTGCTGTTATTTGTTGTAAATTTAATGGTGAGGTTATGTTTTTTGTTATTTGCAGCAAAATGAGGAAGAAGACTTTACAAAATTGTTTACTAATGCAACAAAGCCTTCTAAACTTGTTAAACCCAGTCCAGGTATGTTTATATTAGTAGATTTACATTCTACAACTTAAGAGGTGATTCTATTTACCTATATATAAATGTAATTAAAAGATAACTCATTACATGGAAAATCACTGAAAATACTCTACCTATCTAATATATGAAATTCATGACACAGCAATTATTGCCGACCTTTTACACAAAATTTATTATGACTTTAGTATAATCACATAGAAGATTTACTTGAAGGGGGCCCTTTGAAAGATTAAAGCCTCGCCGGCATTAGCAACGCATTTGAGTAGGCAGTGTTTTGAAATAGTTTAGGGGGTTTTATTATTTACTGAAAAAAAAACCCATATGCTCAATCAATCAACTTTTTCACCACAGCAGGTATGGCAAGCAAGGGGAAACTGCTGCTGGTAGGGTTCGGTGGTTTTCGTGTTTATTTAAGAGTGACATAGTGTCACTAACACTTTTATGTGTTGTCTGTTCAGTCAGTTGCACTGCTGTGCATTTAAAAAACGACTTTTTTGTTTAAAAAAATAATTAAATTTTAAATAAAGTATGCTATTAGGAGTTTTACTGATGTAAATAATCTGCCCAAAGTGCACAACCATACAGAAGAAGTACGAAATCAATAGGCACAAATTACGTGTTTTTTTAACCATTAGTGGCGCAGATATCCATTTTTCCTTGTGTAGGCTTCATGTGCACGACAAAGATGCAACTGAACCCCTAGTATGTTTATTAGGGTGGTTCTTATTGACCGATGTCGAAATTTTAATCGTGCCGCCCCCTCATTTGTTTTTAAAAAATATAAAAAAAATGTATGCCAAATTTGAATGTCCTAACTTATTTCCTTCTATTGCCTGTAACAACGAGAAGTTTTCCAGATAATTACCTTTAATGTATTAATTTTTTTAAATTACTATTAATCTATGAAAAAGTATAATTTTTTAAGAAAATGTAGAGGATATAAGTTACCTACTTTAAAACAAAAAAAAAAGAAATCATGTATTTGTATCCTAAGGTCTTTTTTACTTCGCTTGATTATTACTTACAGTTTTTTATATAGGAGATTTTTGCTTTAAAACGCCATAATTTTATAAAATTATTAATAATCAATGAACAATTCTAATTTTTTAAGGAAATGAAAGGAAAATATGGTACTTTTAAACAAAAAAAAAATAGAATTCATGTATACTCATCGTAAGGTCTTTTTTACTTCGCTCAATGATTAGGTACTATTATTGTTAGTAGTAGTATGTATATTATAAAAATTTTACAGATAATTATCTATTATTATTATTATTATTTATTATAATAAAAATAATATCTAATAATAGATATTTATTGATTATCACATCATACATAACAATAAAATTTTTACAAATATTTTTATATAAATTATGAACTGTATAAGCTTAAATGTATTAAAAAAACAAAAAAAAACAGAATTATTAATGTTAAAAACAGAATTATTAATGCTTAAGTCTCTAAAATAACTTTCCACAGGGATTTCACTGGAAATTTTCTTTTTCTCGGGGTGCCCTATTATTGTTATTTTATTGAAAATGACATAAAAAACAAAATATCAGCATAAACAAAATGCATAATTAGTTTGCTTTGAATCGTAATTTCCTAAAAGATATTTAGGGAGCACCAACATTAGAAAAGTACAAAATTACAATTTCATTATTTACATAATTGTAATTTTGTATACAAAATTATAAAACAAATAATTTAATATTGCCTAAAAGATATTTAGGTAGCACCAACATTAGAAAAGTACAAAATTACGTTTCAAAACACTAATTATGCATTAAATGCAAATAATCGGGGGTAAAGTGCTTAAAAATTATCGATAATTTTGCCTAAAAAATGCATGAGTTCATTTTTATATTTTGGAAAGAGCCCGACACCGAAGGTGGAGGACTCTTTCCTCAAAATATGAAAATGACCGAATGCATTTTTTAAAAGGCAATATGCTTGAATGCAAAATTATCTGATTATTTTTATGCACGAGTGTAATTTGTTTAGATAATTACACGAATAAACTATAGTTTATTATTATTATTAAATTATAATTAAATAAAAGAATAACATTTTCAAATATTTTAACTATTTTTCACATTTTCATTAATTGAATCAAATGATTCTTTACCAAAACGTGACATTTTAAATAACTGTCACATTAAAATAAAAACTGACGTTATTTTTATTAATTGCCATGGATACGTAGATACAATGGAATTATCGATTCCTAGTAGACAATTATCGCGATAATTGTCTTGTAGGCATATATAAGAGGGTAATTATCACTAATATTTTGTTTTTTATGACATTTTCAATAAAATAACAATAATAGTAATAATTGAATGAAGTAAAAAGACCTTACCAAGGACATACATGAATTTTTTTTTGTTGAAAAGTACCATATTTTCCCTTCATTTCCTCAACAAATTAGAATTGTTCATTAATTATTAATGATTTTATAAAATTATTGCGTTTTAAAGCAAACATCCCCTATATAAAAAACTGTAAGTAATAATCGAGCGAAGTAAAAAAGACCTTAGGATGAAAATACATGATTTTTTTTTTTTGTTAAAAGTAACTTATGTCTTCTACATTTTCTTAAAAAATTATACATTTTCATATATTAATAGTAATTTAAAAAAATTAATACATTAAAGCCAATTATCTGGAAAACTTCTCGTTGTTACAGGCAATAGAAGGAAATAAGTTAGGACATTCAAATTTGGCATACATTTTTATTATATTTTTTAAAAACAAATGAGGGGGCGGTACGATTAAAATTTCGACATCGGTCAAATAAGAACAACCCTAATGTTTATGTAACATTCCATAAATATTAGGGTCTTTAAATAAAAGAGAATTGTTTTTTTTCTTACAAACAGGCAAAAAAGTTTTGTTTAGGTATAAAAATGAGCCTAGTTAAGCAAAAAATCATAAAAAACCTTTTTTGTACAGCGCTTAATTCTATACAAAAATATCCGAACACATTTTCTGTTTTTATTAAATGTTTACGTACCTTAAATAAAAAATTAAATGCCAGAAATGTTGTATGTAATAAAGTGAAAAATCACTGTTGAACTAAGACACTCTAGAGTTCGAACGCTGTAAGTTTGATGCCGCAACGTTATCAGCTACGCATTGCCAACCGTTGTCGAGGGATGACGTTGCGTTATCAAACAGCGTTTGAACCCCACCTCAGGGTCGCCCCTAGGAATTAATTTAGCTTTTTGTATGTAACTGTAAGCCGTATACCCCATTCCCTCTCGTCGGCCCTGGCCTATAGGTATACCTATCTAATCTATGAACTAAGCTATTAAAATAATACTTATATTTATATCAATAAAATAAACACTGTTATATAACTAATTCAATTTTAAATATATTTAATATTGCACCGTAATGAACAATAATAAACACACTTCTGAGATTGTACATTATTATTAATTTTAATAGCAAAATTATTGTTTTTACCTACCTTGAAAACAAAACTTTTAAATGCCAGGAATGTTTTTCAGAGACAAATAGCTTGTTTGTGGTAAAAGAATTTTTTTTAAATGCTAACCAGTTTTAAAGTGAGGTAAATAAAGAATATTCAGCTCTTCTGAAAAAGAATATAAAAATGTTTTAACCGGTTTTAATAGGACATTTACAGTGGCATAGGAATGGAAGGGGGACAAATTTCTAAACAATGTTTAAATGTTGCATAATCAAGGTGAAAACAATTTTATTGAGAGTTAAGCGCTTTAAAATTAACCGCGGTTGTAAGTAAGTTGTTTTTTTGTTAATACAAATACGAAATTATGTTTTATCGTATTTATAGAATAAATATGATTTTATTGCAATTGAGGAAGTAATTTACAATTATTTTGATAATTAACACTATAAATTTTACAGTGTCAGAAATTTCGTAATTTCCTATAGCCAACAAGCAAGAGAGAAATGGACAAAGTAATTACACAATCAATCACAATTCATTCGTCTCTCTCATTCGTTGCCTATACAAAATTAAGGGTAAAGTTTATTGCAAAGATTTTAAGTGTTTTAGACATGGAAATGTTTACATAAACTGTTTTTTAAGATAACTTATCAAGATGTCTAATTTAATTTTGGATCATAAAAAAAACAGGGAAGCAAAAAAATTACGTGCAATTTCATGTACACAAAGCATCGATAACACTAGTTTACAGCCATTTTGCCCACCATGTCTCACTATGATTTTCTTCACACACACTTAGTTTTTTTCATCTAAGCGTTTTCCAGATATGAATTTTCAATTGTTTTTTTTTTAATTTTCTGAGGTGTTTTGACGTTTTAGAGTATACTTCGAGTTCTAATTGATCGATTTGACCAAACAAGCACTTAAATCAAATGTAATTGAGCCCTATACAACTTTCTCTTGAATACTTTTGGTATCGGCTCAGTAGTGCGATACTGGCGATTTTATGAAGTTGAAAAAGTCCTTTTTTTACAAAAATCGAGGTCAAAAATTTACATATCTTTTTGGAAAAGATAGAAATCGAAATGATAAGTCCAGTTTGATTTATTTTACGTATAGATTATACTTAAAGGAAATAAATAAGCTGCTGTTGATAAAAATCCATGGATAAATGGCGAAGTTATGAATTTTTCAGTTTTATTGAATTATATAAAATTTAATATTCAACATTGATTTTTATTTTAAAAATATTGAAATTAAATTATGTATTGAATATTGAACATTGAAGATATTGAAAGTTTTATTTTGTTGTAATATTGTAATGTTTTTTGTTGCTTTCCTATTCCGTTTCTCGTATAATCGACCAAATGTAATCACCCATCATGGCTGGATCCCAGAAGCCGTGATACCTCCGCTCCATAGCCTTCATTTGCTAGTGAAAACGTTATCCGTGCTCATCACTTACGTCTCCCAGATTGTCCGGGCTATTTACGCACTCGAACTCTACTTTTTTTACTCATTTTACACTTTTTATTAACTAAATAAAACCATGATAAAAATACCTTGTTGAAATATCAAAAAATAGTAGTAAAATGGCACTATGCCAACAAGAGAAACAAAAGAATTCACACTTCGCAAACGCCATGTCAAATTTAAATTTTGAACAATGTTTTCGGTAAAAAATTCCAATCATTCACTTTGCTTAGGTTTTCATTAAAGAATAAACATTACAAAATAAAAGAGAAAAATAAAATAAAAATCGTCAAAAAGCTGAATTTTGGTCTTCCACTAAAAAATTCATAACTTCGCCATTTTTTCATGTATTTTTATCAACATAACCTTGTTTTTTTTTGTAAAAATGTCAGCTTCACGAACAAAAAATCAAACTGGAGTTTTCTGTTTGATTTAAACATTTCCCAGGACGATATGTAAGTTTTCGACCTAAATTTTTGCCATAAAAGTTATTAAAATCGCTAGTGTCAAAATACTTATCCGATATCAAAAGTATGTAAAAGAAAGTTTTAGAGGGCTCAAACCCTTTTAATTTAAGAGCTTGTTTGACCAAATCGATCAATTAGATTTCAAGCTATACTCAAAAACGTCAAAACACCTCCGAAAATTGAAAAAAAACAACATTTGAAAATTCATATTTCAAAAACGCTTCCATAAAAAAAGAGTCTGATGTTCGTGTTTAGTGGGTCAAAATACATGAAAAAATTATAATGGGATATGGTGGGCAGAATTTTTTTTCGATTCTGTAAACTAGTGTAACAGTTAATAAAACAGTGTTATTTGATTTCTTTATAAAATCGTGCTATTTGGTACATGGCAATTATGCATGAAAGTCTTGATTTTGATTTGATTTCTTTATAAAATCGTGCTATTTGGTACATGGCAATTATGCATGAAAGTCTTTCACTGAAAGATAATATCGGAAATATATTTGACAAGGCTTCGGCGCCACACCTCCACTCGATGGTCTAAATTGTTGATTACATATCTGCATAATGGCTCCTCGATCTCACCAATATACCTTATTATCTAGCTGTTGAATTGGTGTGGCTAATTGAATTCGCTTTGTCGGTAGATAATTAGACCTGGATAATAGTAATTCAATAAAATCATATTTGCATTGGCTGTGTGGCATGTGGCACCATCATGTTTAACCAAGAAATCGTCGATAAATGAAAATCAATAACATACAATTCTGGCCATAAAAAATGCATCATTTCACGGTTACGCTCACCGTAGCAGAATTTTCAAAAAATTTCTGGTTTTATGGCGTTTTAGTCACGGGCTAACTTCAGCAACAGCAACCAACTGAAGTTGGTTTTAAGTTAATGGACAGTTGTCAAATGGCATACATTCGTTAAAATAAAGTTCAGCCGTTCCACGCTACTCGGGAATTTTTGTAGCGTCCGTTACAATCAAAAATTGTGATTAAAAGCTACCGTAATTAAATTAAATACTGTTATAATAGTTAATATTGCAAACATGTTTATTATGCTAATAATAATTAGTCTTAAACTTATAAGCATAATAATTACGGTAGTTTTACTCACAATTTTTGATTGTAACGGACGCTACAAAAATTCCCGAGTAGCGTAAAATGGCGGAGTTCTCTTCTTGTGAAATAGTGTGGAAAATATTTTATCATCTTAATACAAAAACAAAAAGTACCTCGAAAAGTACTAAATAGTTTCTCAACGCCAATACCTATTTGAAAAGTTTATATGCAAGTGTGTAGTGACCTATTGATTTAGTAAACTAGATTTAACTGAGCATTAAAAATTTAGGATGGAGACTCCACCTGAAGTCCCCATAAAACATTATCTTTACTATCACTGTGAAAAACTGCTTCTATATCATCATTTAAACGGTTGTTAGTCCATTTTCAAGGGATAAATTTCGATTTACGCATACAAATTTGACATTTTTACTGGCGCGCCGGTAATACAGATTCCAAAGTTAAAAATTGTTACGCGAGTTTGTCTGTTTTTTTATAGATAATAATAAGTATCTATTTAACGTAGAAAAAGTATTGTATGCAACTCTATGACTGTTCTAACATCACTTTTTAATGTGAAATTACATGTATTCCTTAAACTGTTACAGAATTAATTATTCTATCATCGGTCGACAACCTTTAGACCAATCCAACCTTACTTTCTCCGAATTAAATTATTTTTCTATGGTATTTTTTGGAAACGTAGAACACACGAAACACATTTGGAATTCCAAATTCCGCTTTTGTAAAACCGTATAACTCGCCTTTGGCTCGTGATACAAACTTTTCACTCGAGCGGAATATGCATGCCGTGTCTAGAATATACTATTCTAGACACTCATTTGATTAAACACTCGCTCGCAAGCTCGCTCGTGCCTGATTAAAATTCGTGACTAAAATGGCGTTTATCAAACTTGATATCATTATGAAAAAGGTTTTTTTGTAATTTAATAAAAATTAAGAAATTCGGGTCAATATTAAAATGTATTTGTAGTAAACATTTTTTATTTGTCACAGTTTTAGATTAGTAGATAATGATTTATTTGATATAATTGTTGCATACATAAAATAGTAATTTCGAGGTCATAGACAATCGTTTATCAATAAATATAGGAAGCGTTTTTATTCAAGGACATATTATACTACACTTATTAAGTGTAGTAAGTGTATAATAATAATTGTTAGTTATCATTATTCATTTATTTATAAAATTAAAGTTTTTCTTAAATTTATGTTAGTACAAGTTTTATACTGAGGGTCCTGAAATTTTCAGGCTGAAAATAAAAAACAGTTTTTAGGCTCTTAGAATAAAATAAATACCTCTATAGTCTATACCAAAAGACCACTTTGACATTTGAGTGAGGAACGCAGCCCTATAATTGATGTTATGTATCTGTCAGTTTCAGTGGCGGATTTACACATTTTCAAAGTATAGTCTGTTTTTGCTACCCTATTATTATACTTAGCTATATAATAAATTCCTAACCCCAAAAAATAACTTTAAAAGATAATCCAATAGGAAATTGGGGCATGGATGAGAAAACCCTTTAATTTTGGAGAAAATGTACCCCAATTATTGGATTATTATCATTAATTACGTAAGGACAATTTTGGTGACTTTTGACCCCCCTACCCCCCGTAAGATTTCTCAAACCCCCCTCCCCTTTCTTTAGTAAGATTCACTTTAAAATTAAAAAAACTATTTGGAATCCAAAATGGAATTAGATTTTTAATATTGAATTTTGATTCACGAAATATTACGTAAGAATGAATTTCACCCCCCTCTCCCCCAACATAAGCACATTTAGAGATTTTATTTTTTGTTA